TTCACCATGGGCCAATTTCACCAAATTTTTCTTTCTGTCAATGACAGCCAAGCATCCATCTGGCTTCCATTCTCCAATATCTCCTGTTTGTAGCCATCCATCTTCTGTAAACGTTTCTTTGGTCACTTTTTCATTTTTATAATAGCCTGGTGTGACTGCAGGCCCACGAAGCCAAATTTCTCCTCGTGGATTGGGAGTATCTGTAGATTTATAACCAGCATCTGGTACATCAACTAATTTTACTTCTGTACAAGGTACTGGTGTTCCCACGCTGCCATAAGTAAATAGTTCTGGCGTAAGAATTGTACCAGCCATACTAAAAACAATGCAATATAGAATTATTAATCAGGATATTGTTGGTTAACTAATTAATTAATCGACTAGACTTACCCACAAGCTTCAGTCATACCATAACCTTGAAATATTGGACATAAAGTTACGCATAAAAATTCCTGTGTTTCCTTAGAGATGGGTGCACTACCAGACAATGCAAGTCTCAATCTTCCACCAGTTTGTTCTTTTATCTTATCAAATACCAAAGTATCAAAAGGTTTGGAGGGTAAACCTTTTCCCATTAACCAACTTTTAGTCTTGAAAGCTACATCAAAAATCTTTTGTACAGTTGGACTACTCCCATGGACTTTTGAAAGAATACCTTTCCTAATTGATTCCCATACTGCTGGCACACCAGTCATTACACTAGGTTTCAATTCACACATGTCGCCAAGACAATTTCTTACAGATGAATCTGTTAAAGTACGAGGTGATCCATAACCTAAGGTAACACCCCACCAAAGACATACATGTTCCACACCAAACTCAAGAACATGAGCAAGTGGAAGGTATGCAAGGAATGAGTCATCCTCTTGAATTAAATGTCCGAGCATTTTTTCAACGCCACCAACTAAATGTGAGAGAATTAATAGAATAAGAAGGAGGTATCAAATTTTTTAATTTTAAAAAAAAATTTTTTTTTAAAGGAAAGAAACTTACTTGCTGCAACAAGATTAGCATGAGTCAATATGACGCCTTTTGGATTACCGGTAGTTCCAGAAGTATACATAATACAACATATATCTTGTGATTTTGGTGGGTTTGTATTTATTGGATAATCTTTGCCTAATTGTTTAAGTTCTTCCAATGTAAAAATTCCAAGGTTTGAATGAGCATTTGACAATTCTTGCAAGACTGATCCTTTTGCATCACCATCATAAATTATAAATTTAAGAGTTGAACATTTTCCAGCAACCTTTTTAACCATTGGAAGTAAATCTGCGTTAGTAAATATTCCATTAACTTCTGCTTCATTCATTGAATGGAGAAGACCTTCTTCTCCGAGGGTGTCATATGCAGTCACAATAGTCATACTTAGTGAGAAACAACCTATGGATTAAAATGGTTTTGTAAGATCAATACTTTGTTACAATATTTTTTTATAATTAAATCTAGCAAAATTTTTACCATGAATTACAAGCATCCAATTGGCACTTATATATGTGACAAATAATAAATATCATATATAAATATAAAAATATAATTGGATAATTTTTCATTACCTTGTAGCAGCAAAGATTGCAACTTTAGATCCTTTATTTAAACCTAATTTTATCAGACCAGCCCCGATGGTTCTAATTTCTGATCCATATCGTTCAAGGTTGGTGACGAAATGTCTCCTTTTCGTCACATGACGAAAATAAATGTGACGAAATAGGGTTTTTACACTTTAAGTAATTTGACGAAAGTACGAAATCAACAAAATAATAAAATAAACCAATTATTTTGGAGATTTTAAATTATGGAATAAATAAAATTTATGATGTCAAATTCTAATTCACCCAATTCACCAATTCCTTCTCAATCATCATCATATAATATGAATTTGCAAACATTAAAATTAGATATACCTGAAAGTTCATTTAACAATAATCAAGAATTAGCTACAGGACGTCCTGTGTTTGATGTATGGTTACATTCCATTAAATAGTAAATGAAGAATCATTTCAACAATCAGAATTATCAGATGATTCTACAGATTTTGAAGAAAGTTATGAAACCAGCAATAGATGTGAAGCGGCAATTCCTACTAAAATTTTGCGTACAAAAATTAAGTATCCAACCAAGAAACATGATTTACGATGTAAAAAAAATGTTTAAATTAAATTTTTGTTTTAATAAAATTGAATTTATATTTTCGTCATCTTTATCACAATTTGACTTTTGACTTTTACCCTTTGTCACTTTCGTCACGTTTCGTCACTTTCGTCACATTTCGTCACTAGTGCCCCATTTGACGAAATACTTTTTACACTCCAAAATACTTTCGTCACCCAACCTTGGTGCCAACAAAAGCAATATACTTTCAACTTGTCATAGAATAACCACCGATACTTAAGCTAACTTTTTGTTTGAATGGTCATTTGAAAGTCCCAATTTAGCTTTCAATTTTTCGTTTAATAAAGGAAAGTTGTTTGCATAGTGAAAAAATGACAAATTTTTTTATTATATAAAAATCAGAAATGGGGTTTATAATAGACGCGCGTGTCGTGTATCATAAATCCACGTACTAGATAAGGCCCTAATTTTTAAATCAAAACAAAAAACATCAAAAAAACATTTCAGAGAAAGAAAATTTGGTTTTTTTTTTAATTATTATTATTATATAGAAAAAAAATGCAAGCAAATAAAAGAACAAAAAGTAATTAGTTTTAATTTGCATATCATATATATACATATATATTTAACAACACATTGCTCAATTGTTATTTTCGAATACATACTAATAATATTACGTGTTTTAAGTATATCATGAAGGATTTATTAGTCAAGTTACTCTTCAGACAATAGAAAAGCAAGGGGAGGTTGTTATTATTGTTTATTATGTAAATTATATCTTCTTATCTATCTGTGATCTAATTGTAAAGTGTTGAGTATATAGGAAATAGAAAAATTAATCGGACCATCAATCTTAATCAAAGAGAGATCAATCAATATCCAAGTAATAATAATATTAATAAAATTAAATCTACACAAGTATACATTATATATATCTTTCAAATATATTAATAAATTTAAATGCCTTTTCTGCTTTTTGAAAAAAAGAACCTTCAAAGAATGATCCTTCATTGTCTAACAGATGATGTAAAATCTGAGGATTGGATAGAAATTCGAGTATGTGTGATTTATCATTATCATCATCATATTCATTATATTCATCATTATTCAAATTATATATTTAATTTATCTATTTAACTATAGAACAAAAGTAAAATAAAAAGAATTGTTGTTGTTGGAATCTCGTCATTTGGTGGAAGTTTATTTGGTGTATCAGGCAAACCTGTTGATAATGAAACCAGGATAAACCTTACTGCTTTTAACAGAATATTTGGAGTTAAATGTATAATTAATCAATGGTTCAACAAGTTGGAACAGTTTTTAACAGTTGACTTAACCAATGGAAATGTCAAAGGAAGGCTTATAAAGTCCTTTGAAAGAAGTATAATTACTCATTAATATATATTATCAATTATAAGCATCATATCTATAGATAATAATAATAATAATTTTCTTTTAAAAATATAATTTTTTTTAGGTAAAGAAAAAGATAAAATTGCAAGATTGTTATTAAGAACAGACAACATGCCCGTTTATGGATTCAGAGTTCCAGCTTATCCAGTGAAAGAAAAACTTTTGCCTGATAAATGGGTTCAAACTACCCTTGATTCTACTCCCATCAATTCTTCTAATGAATTCTTGTTTGTAGGATGCAAAACAGAACAGCATTGGGGACATATTGTCATTATTAACTATGAACAAAATGTCATTTGTAATGAAGAGTTTAAATTTGATGGTGCACCTCCTAGTGATTATATTAGAAGGTAAATAATAATTAAAATTTTTTTTTAAATTTTTATACAAAATTAATTTTTTTTTTTAAATAGATGGCATAAAATGAAAAGCGTAAAAGATATGCAAACCATTTTATTGTCTTTTATCACTAAACAAACAAAATTAGTCGGTCATTTATTAGGAAAATATTTAGAATTACTAAAAGTGAGTAGAGAGAGATTTATAAATTTATAAATAAACATATATATATTCATATCTGCAATTAATAAATATTCTTTTAAAAAAAAAATAGTATGCACACTCAAATGTTATTGACACATCAGCTTTGTGTCATGGTAGCAATGGATTACATTCAAGATCAGGATTAAATTTTCTTAAATCAATTTTGCATAAATCACCACTAGGAATTGTGAATACTGCAGAGGAGAAAGCCCGTGCCATTCTTGCTCTATATAAATACATACTTGAACGAGGTAGATTTTTATTGATTTAATTTAACAATAAACATTGTTTACTAATATGTATGTGTGTAAATATATTAAATTTAGGCCTTTACACGGGAAAACGTCAAGAATCATTAACACATGTTTTAAACATAAGCAATAGATCCACTGCATTTATTGATTATAATGGCAAGTTTCAATTATATGGTGTCGGTTCAAGTTCTAATGCAACCATTGCTTTATGTTCCAATGACGAAGAGGTACTTATTTCTATCTATTTGTTTATGATCCAAGTAATAAATACTACATGTATTAATGTAGTTAATTTAATTTTAGATTGAAGAACAACTCCTTAAAAAAATTAGAAAACCTAATTTTGTATGGGCACATTTTCGTGATCTTGAAAACATTATTGATCCAAATAAATATCAAGATGGCTTAAAAAAGATTAGCGATAGAATATATAGAATATATAATCAACTATCAACAAACAGTGTTCTAATGGTCATTGGTCAACCACAAAGAGACGAAGAAGGAATTGCTTTTATTAGAGTTAAAAACTAAAATAAATTTTCTTACTGTATCAACACTAACTAATCTTTACTGTTAAAATTATAATATTTATTTCTTTTTCTCTTATTATTACGATGATGATGATAGCAATAAATAAATAGATTACCTCTTTCTTTCTCTTATTCTCTTTTTCTCTATTCAATCTGTTTTTTCTAATTTTACAATTAATCTTTTTTTAGATTCAACAAATTTAGCTTTTGCTGTGTTAATATCAATAAGATAATGGTAAATCTAATATATATTTTTCAAAAGAATTTACAAAAGTCTGGAAGATTCTATGTCTACAATTGTCTTTTCAATTAATTCCTGTCATATATCAACATTTTAAATGAGTAAATATTGTTTCTGACAAGTATTTAAATAATCGAGAAATAGTTGGATACTTACTAAAGAAGGTATTTCAATTGATATTAATAAATAGCATAGGTTGTTAATATCATGTTCAGTGATTATGTACTCGGGTTTTTGAGCTTTTGAAATATCATCTTCATTATTGTCGTCTTTAATTTTATTGTCATTTATACTGTTGGTTGGAGATTTAATTGGTTTAGAAATTTCAGTTATTAAAGAGAGTTGTTTCTTTGGAATCTTCACCGTTCTACTCTCTATCTTGCCCTTGTAATGCATTTTAGGAAACACAAAATCTAAAATTATCAAGTTTAAATAATTAAATATATATCTACCTTTTTTTTTTTTTTTTTTTTTTTTAAAAAAACTTTTTTACCTCGCCCAAGTTCAATCATGTTTTTTTCTTCAATCAATTCCACAGCTACTTCACTCACATACAACTTGAAATCATAATCATTTAGGATTCTTTGATACACCTCGTTGTTCACAATAAAATCGCATACAAGACATTTCTTCTGTGCTTTTACACATCATCACTTTTCGTTTCAGTAAAGATTCTCTCATATGAATCAATTTTTTTAATCGAGAAAAAATTTCCTTCTTTTTTTTTTCAAAAAAATTTAATAATTTGACAAACCTTTATCCTTATCAAATTTTATCTCATTCAAAACATTTGGTACCCGATAAATAGCATCAGCATCACCATTCATAGCTTTTCGAAGTTCTTCTTCACTGGTACAGGTAGGTTTAGGTATTTTATCCGAATAGCACATATTTATAAAAAATTTCATATCTGATGGATATTTATTTGCTTCTATAGAGGCTTTAACCAATGTTTTTAATACTATTCCTGGTTTTGGAAGTATATCGACCGTCTCGTACACAGGACTCTGATCACTTGGAAACAATTCAATTTTTGGTTGGAAATCATCCTCGACTTTATTTTTTTTTTAAAAAAAAGAAATCTTAGAATTAACTAATTTAAAATTTTCAATAAATACCACAACTTTAGATTAATTTCTTACCTTGATGCATTTCCAATTTTTTTGCTTGATTTAACAAAGGTTCAAAAAAATCCATTGCTTAAAATTAAATTATCATGATTACAGTTATTATCACCCATTATATAAATGACCAGTTGCACAAAATTTTTATTATATCCATCCATCTGTAGCAAATAATAATTTTTTTTAGTTACATTTATTATCCATAATGGCAGAGCCAAGCACAATAACGACTCAAAATGAAACTAAAGAAAAAGAACCAGAACCAGAATTGACTAGCAAGGATTATTATTTTGACTCATATGCACATTTTGGTATTTATGTTGACTAAAATTAATAAATGCATTTTATCCATTTATCCTTTATCATTGTTGATTTTTTTTAAAACACCAAGGCATTCATGAGGAAATGCTTAAAGATGAAGTTAGAACACTCTCATACCGTACAGCAATTTATCAAAATAAACATTTGTTTAAAGATAAAATTGTATTAGATGTAGGGAGTGGTACTGGAATCTTGTCAATGTTTGCAGCAAAAGCTGGTGCCAAACATGTTTATGGAGTAAGTATCAGAGCATATGAAATGTTTCAATATAAAAATATATACGTATATTTTTTTAATATAATATTCATTTATTTATGTGATAGATTGACATGTCAAATATTACTGATCAAGCACGACAAATAGTTGCAGAGAACAAATTAGATGATAGTACGAATTTACTAGCATGATCATGATTGATTTGAATTAAATTTATTTTAACTGAACTAATTTGATTTTGATATAATCGATTAATTGAGCCTTGATTTTCAACATATCACATATCAACACATAATTTAATTTGAAAATATTATCAGAAATTACCCTCATTAAAGGCAAGATGGAAGAAGTAAAGCTACCGGTTGACCAAGTAGACATTATAATTTCTGAATGGATGGGTTACTTTCTTTTATATGAATCAATGTTAGACACAGTCATAGTTGCGCGTGATAAATATTTGGTACGTATATACATATATTCATGAGTCAATTGTTTGGATGAGTAATTGTTCATTTTTACGTACATACATATATATATGTGCGCAGATAAATAAATATTTATTCATTTATTTGTTAAATAGAAACCTGGTGGCATGATATTTCCTGATAAAGCCACATTATTTCTTTCTGCCATTGAAGATGGAGAATATAAAGAAGAAAAAATTGGATGTAGGGATTTATATTTAAAAATAATTGCTATATCATAATTGCTATGGTAATTACTATGTTTATAATAATAATGATGCTTTCTCTAGTTTGGGATAATGTTTATGGCTTTGACTTTAGTTCAATCAAATCAGTTGCTCTTAGAGAACCATTAGTGGATGTTGTTGATTATAAAGCTATAGTCACAAAACCAAATGCTATAAAAGTATTTGAATTTTATTTAATTTCTCTCAAAATTAAAATAAAAAATATATTATTAATAATTTTTCTTGGTGGTAATAATGATTTTAGGAAATTGATATTAATACAGTTCAGAAATCGGATCTTGATTTCAAAGCTCCCTTCACTCTAACCGCTCTCAGAGATGATTATATCCACGCGTTTATTTCTTGGTTTGAGATCACCTTTTCAGTGTGTCATAAGCCGGTTCATTTCAGCACAGGTGGGCAAAAAAAAATCTATTAACAAAAATTATTATTTTTCACTAAAAAATCCACCACTAATATGTAAAAAAAATTTAGGACCGCATGCTAAATATACACACTGGAAACAAACTGTGTTTTATACAAACGATTCAATTATTGTTAAAGAAGGTGAAACAATTGCTGGAACTTTAACTTGTTCTCCTAACAAGAAAAACAATCGAGATTTAGATATTGAGATAAGTTACGAGTTTTCAAGTGATGCAGGAAAATTTTCCGAAGTGTGTAAATATAAAATGTGAGTAAAACATTATCTTATTTGCTAATGATTATTTATTTCATTTATTAAGTTAAATATTTAAATTAATTTAATTTTACCATGTCCTAGGAATTAGGTATTAATTATACGTACAATTTATTTATTTTAACTTTAAATTTTAATGATAAATCTTACTTAATCCTAACCCAATGGCTGATTGAGTAATAAACATACACAAAACTTTTAATTCACCCAACATGTTGAGCTTAGCCATTAGATTTAATATAATTGACTGTCCTTTTCGGGCTAGAGTTCCGTGAACATAAAAAGACTTTAAAAATTCTGAGCCTCTAAATTTTCGACTCAAACATCATTTGTAGTTTCTGCACTCTCGTAAGCTAGGTAGGTAACTTGACCTTTAGAATTTGGGAGATTTGATACCAACAATTCCAAATTCGTTAAAGTAGTCCCGTATCTGGTGGACGAGTTCTTTATACAATATTTCTTCTTTCACAAGTTCCAGAAACAAAAAAAAAATCATTCTCGAAAGTTTTTTGCTTCGAGAAGTGTTAAATTTAAAGATTAAAGTAACTAGAGAAATAATTTGTTATCATACAACTTTTTTAGTTATGCAATCTTGAATGAATGTTGATGGAAATACCGTATCTCAAATCTAGTTTTTTATTGACAGAATGTTTGCCGTGTATTGTAAAGTTACGTTGCACAATATAAAAAACTAGTGTAACATTTCAAATTTGCTTCGCCGCCATCATGTGTTATTTAAAGCTCTTTCAAATGGAATTAATGTTAAACTATAATAAGTTTGAGCGGTTAGATTGAAGTTACACGATATCGTACATAAATTCAGATATATACAAATTTGGTTTCCACTCACTGAAAAGAAAAAAACAAGTCTGTTTGTACACATATTAACAAAGATTAATAATAAACTAGATAAATGGAACTAGATTTAATAATAAAAATAATAAAAAGCAGAATAAGTTTATCATCGTAAAGTATTCAACAACAATCATAACAACAATAACAGCAACAACGACAACGTCAACATTACTATTAATTTTATGGCAAGGTCATTTTTTTCAATCAAAAACATCAAAAAACAGCATAATTATCTCACTCTATTTTGTTTATGGATATTTTTTCTTCATTTTAGTGGCCTATACCTATTCACAAGAGGGTTTCTACTAACTCGTTTAGTTTTAGAAAATCATAGCGACTGTGAAAGTTTTCCTACTTGGAATTTAACTGATCACAATAATAATAATATTAATATTAATAATAATAACCAGTATCATTATCCTTGGAAAAATGTTAAAGCAGAAGATACTTCTTCTTTTGAACATAATGGATGTTGGTATCCAGCTCCATTTAAAAAAGCTATTATAATTATTATTGATGCTCTAAGGTTTGATTTTGTAGCTTCATCTGCCTATAACAATAACAATGATTTTGGAGGTGATGATTTTGATGATGAAGATAATAGTAATAATAATCATGAACATCATCATTATTTAAATAAGCTTCCAATAATTCGCAAACTCCTTAACAAACAATCGACCAACTCTTTATTGTTTCAATATATAGCTGATCCACCAACAACAACCTTACAACGTTTAAAAGCATTAACAACAGGTACTTTGCCTACATTTATTGATGCTGGAAGTAATTTTGCTGGATCAGCAATAGACGAAGATAATTTGATTCATCAGCTTTGGAGACAAGACAAAAAAATTGCTTTTATGGGTGATGACACTTGGATGTCTTTGTTTCCTCAAGAAATCAATCAAAACATGTCTTATCCGTTTCCATCATTTAATGTATGGGACTTGCATACAGTTGATAATGGAATATTAAATTTATTAGGTCCTACAATTAGATTACCATCATCATCATCATCATCAAAAGAAAACTGGGATGTTCTGATTGCTCATTTTTTAGGTGTTGACCATTGTGGTCATCGATATGGGCCTGATCATCAAGAAATGGCTACCAAGTTAAAACAGATGAATGATATGATAAAAGATGTCGCTGATTCAATTGATGAAAATACTGTTTTACTAATTATGGGTGATCATGGAATGGATCTAAAGGGTGATCATGGTGGTGATAGTGATAACGAGGTTGAATCTGCTCTTTTTATCTATAGCAAAAAACAATTAACCAACAACAATAATTACGATTTAGGAAAACTTTTAAATAAATTAGATAGTTTAACTTTTCAAAACTCTTTCACTGCAACTAATAATAATAATTTTGGAAAATGGCGAAGCATTCCACAGATTGATTTTGTTCCTACTTTGTCACTTTTACTGGGATTACCAATACCATATAATAATCTAGGTACTATTATACCAGAGCTTTTTCTTCTTCCAAATAATAACCATAATTATGATGGTAGTGTTAGTGTTGATGACGAACAACAGCATAAAATTCAATTAATGAACCTTTTTGAAGTGTTAAGATTGAATTCTCAACAAGTTTTTAGATATGTGGTTGAATATTCTCAACAACAACCTTCTGCTGAATTATCAAAAGGTTATTTACAAATATTAAGATCATCATTTCAAAAAGCTGATGAAAAATACAATTTGATAAAGGAAAAAGAAAAACAACAACAACATTCTCGAATGGTTTTATCATCGTCATTAGATGATTTAGAAGATGGGATAATTTCTTATATGAAATTTTTAAAAGAGACATTATCAATATGCCGTAAAGTATGGGCGCAATTTGATGTAATGCGCATGATTTCGGGAATCGCCATTCTATCCTTGAGCTGCGTGTGTATTGCTTTACACATGTATAATCTAACAATCATTGATGATAATAATACTGATACTATTATAATCAATCAAGTAGCAATTACTTATGTATCATTTGGTGGTATTATTGGATTTTTTTTTATTAAATTAGGAATTTTTAAATTATTATTACCATTATTTTCAATATTGTTTGATAATAGTTATTATGAAAATTCGAGTTTTTCAATTGTGGATTTTATGATTTTTGGTGTATCAATCGGATCAATCTCTGGTTTTCTATTTCAATTTAACTGGAGCGCCTTAATTTTTCAAAAAACTAGAATAAAAATGTCTTCTGAATTTTTCTTGGCCATTTCATTTCTTCTGATTCATTCATTACTATTTGCATCAAATAGTTTTACAGTTTTTGAGGATAGAATTAGTGTTGGTCTATTACAAACTTATGGCTTTTACAATTTATTCAAATCATTTAGTATCAACAAAAACAACAACAATAATAATAATAACGATAAAAATCAACAAAAAATGCTATTTTTTACAATAGGATTGATCCTACTAACACGTATCGCGAGTTATTCTAGAATATGCCGCGAAGAGCAATTTCCAAATTGTATTTCAACATTTTACATATCATCATCATCATCTGTCTCTTCACCGGCTATTTTATTAAGTCAAGTTGCAATGGCAAGTCTTGTCCCATTTATTATTTATAAAATTATGAGTTTATCAAATAGTTTTAATGGGATTGCACCATTTTGGATTGATTGGGGTTTAAGGGCTGGATTAGTATTGGCATCTGTTTATTGGATTATGGATAATGATAATGTTATTGATAATAATACTGGTAGTAGTGAAAACGGTGGAAATATGGAGATAAATGGTTTTTTTGATAAATATTTTAATTCGGAATGGATGAAAAATTTTATAGTGAAATTGGCTTTTGGAATAGCAATAATAGTTGGAAACTTTGCATGGTGGACAAGTCCTTTATGTGTAGATTTTAGAATTATTGGTATTAAAAATAACAGTAATAACAACAATAGCAATAACAATAACAGCAACAATAGTAATAGTAATAATAATAAAAGAAAACCAAAAAATAAAAATACAAAGAATAGTCAACAATCAAAAGAACCACTAAAAAAAAAAATTAATATTTTAGGAAGTGATAACGTTTTTGGAGCATCATATTTTATTTTCTTATCAATGATTTATCTTGTTTTATTTATTGTACAAAAACCAATGGGTGGAATCATGATTTCAATTGCACTGGTACAAATCCTATTTTTATTAGAAATACTCGCTATAAAAAAATCAATCCGTGAATCCAATTCCACGACCACTTCTACTAAAGATTCATACGGTTCATTCCAAGATTATTTTATTTATAATGTTTTATTAGCATTACTTGGTACATTATATTATTTTTCAACTGGCCATCAAGCAACACTTTCATCAATCCAATGGTCAACAGGTTTTATTGGAATTGGAGAAGTAAATTATATAATATCGCCAATTCTTGTAACACTAAACACATTAGCATCACCAATTCTATTCTCATGTTCTGTTCCATTGGTTGCATTTTGGAGGTGGAAAATTAGTAATAACAATAATAATCATGACGTTTACTCTGCACTCACTTACTCTACATTAGCATTCATCCTTTATAATGCAACTATTACTACAAGTACAACTTTTTGGGCTGCTTGGTTTAGAAGACATTTAATGGTCTGGAAAGTATTTGCACCTCGGTTTATGTTGGGTGGCGTGACATTGATGATGGTGGATGTGGTTTTAACATTTTTGTCAATCGGTTATGCTACTAGAAAAATTTTCAATCATGTTACTAAAATTTTTGATGTAAATTATTTATAATTTTTTACTTTATTTCCAAGTGAGAAAATTTCGCCGATCTTTTTTGAAATCGTAATAAAAAAAAGGAAGTTTTCTACAACCATTTGCAATTTGATGTTTTGATAATTGCAATTGAAATTTGCCAATTGCTAATTGCAAAGGTTTGTTCATGAACTTTTGGTAAACTGATTTTTTGAGAACAAATTTGAAATGCGGAACAATGTAGCGAACAATTTTTTTCTGTAATAAACTTTTTTTCTTTAAAAAATACATAATAATAATAATAATAAATACGTTGGAGAATAATAGCATTTTTAGTAAAATTTGTGACATTTTTCCATATTTAGAACTCACAAACTTCTAGACGAATCGTCAATTAAAAATTAATTAAGAATGAATTCATAATTTTTAAAAAAATAAAGATGAAATTAGTTTTATTAATTTAATTGACTGGCCAAAATTAAAATTATCTAGAAAAAAAAAAGAAAATACAAAAATCAGTTTCAAATATATATAATCCAAAGATATTATATATAAAATATTAATTAATGTTCAGTAAAATAATTTGTTTCATATTGAGAATTGTCTAGACTCTCTTCAAACTCATTAAATCATTTTTTTTAAAGCATCATTACAATTAATAACGAATTATTTTTTGAGGGGGATGAAAATAATTAATTATTTCATACCTTAAATATAATAACATTCTTGTACTCGCAACTTTTGTAAAAACATTAATTCCTAAATAGTTAACGTTCTTATTCAACTTCGACTCCTTCTTCCCCTACATCATCATCATCATCATCTATCATCATCACCTCATCATCATCTGATAACAAATCACCAAATTGTTTATCAAATTCTTCTTGACTAATTTTTCCTTTTTTCAACTTTTTGATTAATCTTTCTTCTTTTTGCAATTCATCCCACTCATCTTTTTCCAAATCATCATCACCATCAATTTTATTGTGTTTATTAATAGTTTCACCACGAGAATTTTTTTTATTTTCTTTTTTCACTTTACGTTCCGTTTTACGTTGTTTCTTTAATTTTTTATCAGACCATGAATCATTAATTATTAATTGTCGTTTTCTATTTGAACAATTATAAAGATAAATGAATATACAATTGATTGTATTTTTAGACTACAACTATAATGATTATAAAAAAATATATTTAACTAACTTTTTTAATGATATTAATTCTGATTCTGTCGATTTTGTGGATTTTTTTCCCAATAATTTTTCTTTTCGTTTTTTTTCACGTATGCTATCTGCGTATTTATATTCGTCCATCTAAAATAACAAAATTATATATTAATTAATATTTTCTTCTTCTTTCTTCTTCAAAGAATAATTATTTTTAATTATTTAAAACTTGCATTTATTTGAACTTCATCAAATCCAATCTTTGCATTAGCCAATTCTGGCATTCTTGGCAACTAATAACGCCAATAATATTCATTAATCAAATAGAATTAATTATATAATTAATAATTAATATATATACATAAATGCATGAATACATACTTTTAGTAAACCAAAACCTTTGGCAACTTTGCCTAAATCTAAATCCTTTAATCTAAAAATATAACTTGCTTCATGTTTTGAATACGACCTAACATATGATACAAAAGCTTTTGTTCCCTAATTAAATTTAAATGTAAATGTAAATGTGTATATGTGTGTGTAAACATATGATAATAAACATAAATATCTGCTAATTACCTTAACATGAAAATAATAACAATAATAATACTACTAGTAGCAGTGGTAGTAGTGCTTCGCAACAAGCATACAAACCACATCCAGATGCATATCATAAAAGTAGGATATTAGATGAAGAGATTGCTAAATCTAAAAGTTTAAAGATTTATACAAGTAATGATAGTTCGTTGAATAATCTTGATTTTGACTCTTTTCTCTAAAATGTTAAAGGTAAATAAAATTTTATTATTAATCAATTGGAAATTACTAACCACTAATTATTACTAACGATATTAATTAATAAACATTGGATTCTAGTAACAATAGTAAAAGAAAAGATGTTATGAAAGACTAATTTAATCTCCACTATAAATTTATTATTATATTTTTATATTTTTATTTCATCCTTATTTTATTTCTTATCTTGTAACAATATTTTGAAGTAATAAACTTTTTACAATTTTTGATTCTTGTTAAATGGTGATATTGCAAGACATCGTTTCGGAGCACACATAATGGTACCAGATAATTGTAAATAAGTAAAGATGACTCTTTTGTAATGCTATAAGGTTCCTTTTATTCACTTATGATCGATCTGTTTCAGTTTCTTGTCCTTGTTTACATTTATTGACCGATTGCAAACTTACAACTTAAGTAGCTTGTTTAACAGCCTTACGTTTACTACTACGATAATACTACTTCATTAACGCCCACTAGTTAACAACATTAGTCCAAACCTTTGCTTACTCACTAGAGCAACTTACGTTGCTAGCACTCGCCAGTTAATCAACATTAACCCTAACCTTGCTTGCTTGCTCACTAAAGCAAATAAACGTGGCTTTTCACCAAAGTTCCATGATTGTTACCTTTTACCAAGGCTTGCTTGCTTTTGTCAGAGAGCTTTAAACAAGGAAAATAAAGACAATGTTTTATTTTTTATTTTATTTTTAAAAGCTTATTAACGCTATGATTCTATCACATAGTTTTATTCTATTAAAATGTTAATTATCTATTATTTTTCTCTGTAAGGAACTTTTTCAACCAAAGACCAGAAGTTATCCTTAACAATAAGAATAAGATAAATATGGGATTATTATTGCAAAGTAACTTAATCAATTAATATTGTCATTATAAAAACATCCATTTGATACTAATAGTAATAATACACCCTGGAACATAAAGTACCGAATACTCCGATCATGTATCACGTCATAAATATAAGAATTTAGTAGTAAATGGGTATGTGGAAACTTTGGCAAAAGAAAAACCTAGCTCCTTGGGAACAAATTGATGGAACAAAAGAGAGATTGGGACACACAAGAAAAAAGACCTTGGAATATACAAGTTTTTTTGTGAGCTTTTATATTTATTCACCTTTAAAGCAATTTTACTTGACTTAATATTAATGGCAGCGAATTTGACGCAACTTTTGGTAACATTTCGTCAAACAACATTGCACCTTTACAATATTTCTCCTTTTGCCAAAAATCACCTCATACCTCTTTGATATTAAAAAAAAATTCAGATGCCACAAATTCATTAATTGCTCAACCCAACATAGAGTTATAGCTCACTCTCCCTCTCTCTATATATAATGGATCTTGTTCTATATATAAAGAACTGAGAATTTAAACCCAATTTATATGTCCTGCATATAAATTATTACAGACATTTTTTCGTAAGTTATCATATCAAATCATGAAAAAATAAAAACTGCATTCAATAATAAATTATTATTATTCACTTCCAATTCTTCCGAGATAATGACATTATTAATGGTACAAGTAAATATTTATATTTGATATTTAATATTAGTATAAATAAAATTTGATTCTAGTTCTATAAACATTTTGAGAAAAGTGCCAACAAAAGCAATACTTTCAACTTGTCATGGAATAACCAATACTTATACTAACCTCTTGCTTGAATTGTTATTTAAAAAGTCCCAATTTAGCTTTCAATTTTTCGTTTAATAAAAGAAAGTTGTTTGCATAGTGAAATATGGCAAATTTTTTTATTAAAAATCAAAAATTCAATTTGACTGACTGTCTTCTACAAAAAAAAGGGGTTTATACAAACGCGCGTATATCATAAATCACGTACTTGATAGGTGTAAGACCCTAATTTTTAAAAAACATTTCACATTCTGAAAAATATTTTAAAATTAAAAATGCAAGCAAATAAAAGAACAAGAGGTGAATAATCTTAATTTACATATCATATATATACATATATATTTAACAACGCGTTGCTCAAAAGTTATTTTTGAATGTATGTATACTAATAATATTACGTGTTTTATAGTATACCATGAAGAATTTATTAATCAAACTACTCTTCAGACAACAGAAATGCAAGCAAATAAAAGAACAAAAGGTAAATGGTTTTTTAATTTGCATATCACATATACACATATATATTTAACTATACGTTGCTCGAATGTTATTTTTGAATGTATACAAATAATATTACGCGTTTTATAGTATATCATGAAGGATTTATTAGTCAAACTGCTCTCCAGACAATAGAAATGCAAGAAGAGGTTGTTCTTATTATTTATTTTGTAAATTATATCTTCTTGTCTATCCATGACCTAATCGTAAAGTGTTTGAGTATATAGGAAGTAGAAAAATTAATTGGACCATCAATCTTAATCAAAAAGGAAACAATCAATATCCAAGTAATAATAATATTTAATAAAACTACACCTTACACAAGTATATATTATATATCTTTCGTTTATATTAATAAATTTAAATACCCTTTTCTGCTTTTTGAAAAAAAGAACCTTCAAAAAATGATCCTTCATTGTCTAACAGATGATGTAAAATCCGAGGATTGGATAGAAATTCGAGTATGTGCGATTTATCATTATTATCGTCATCATATTCATCTTATTCATCTTATTCAAATTATATACTTAATTTACCTATTTAACTATAGAAAAAAAGTCAAATAAAAAGAATTGTTGTTGTTGGAATCTCATCGTTTGGTGGAAGATTATTTGGTGTGTCAGGCAATCCTGTTAATGATGAAACCAAGAGAAACCTTTATGCTTTTAATAGAATATTTGGGGCTAAATGTGTAATTAATCCACGGTTTAGCAATTTGAAACAGTTTTTAACAGTTGACTTAACCAATGGAAATATCAAAGGAAGGCTTATCAAGTCCTTTGAAAGAAGTATAATTGCTTATTAATATATATTATCAATTATAAGTATAATATCTATAAATATTAATAATAATTTTCTTTTTAAAAATATAAATTTTTTTTTTCTAGGTAAAGAAAAAGATAAGATTGTAAGATTGTTATTAAGAACAGACAACATGCCCTTTTATGGATACAAAGTTCCAGCTTATCCAGTGAAAGAAAGACATTTGCCTGATAATTGGGTTCAAACTACTCTTGATTCTACTCCCACTAATCCCGCTAATGAATTCTTGTTTGTAGGATGCAAATCAGAACAGTATTGGGCACATATTGTCATAATTAACTATGACCAAGATGTCATTTGTAATGAACAGTTTAAATTTGATGGTCCATCTGCTAGTAATGATATTAGAGGGTAAATAAATTTTTTTTTTAAATTTTTATTATTAAAATATACAAAATTAATTATTTTTTTAAATAGATTGCATGAAATGAAAAGTGTAAAGGATATGCAAACCATTTTATTGTCTTTTATCACTAAACAAACAAAATTAGTTGGTCATTCCTTAGAAAGATATTTAAAATTATTAAAAGTGAGTAGAGATTTATAAATTTATAAATAAACATATATATTTATATCTGCAATTAATAAAATATTCTTTTAAAAAAATAGTATGCACACTCAAATGTTATTGACACATCAACTTTGTATCAAGATGGCAGTGGATTATATTCAACTCCATCATTAAACATTCTTAAAATAAGTTTGCATAAATCTTCGCTAGGAATCGTGAATACTGCAGAGAAGAAAGCCCGTGCCATTCATTCTCTATATAAACACATACTTGAACGAGGTAGATTTTATTTGATTTAATTTAACAATAAACATTGTTTACTAATATGTATGTGTGTAAATATATCAAATTTAGGCCTTTACGCTAAAAGGCACAAAGAATCATTAACCCATGTTTTAAACATAAGCAATAGATCCACTGCATTCATTGATTATAATGACAAGTATCAATTATATGGTGCCGGTTCAGGTTCTAATGCAAGCCTTGCTTTATGTTCCAATGACGAAGAGGTACTTCTTTCTATTTATTTACAAGTAATAGATACGACATGTGTTAATATAAGCTAATTTGATTTTAGGTTGAAGAACAACTCCTTAAAAAAATTAGAAAACCTAATTTTGTATGGGCACATTTTCGTGATCTTGAAACAATTGATCCAAATGAATATCAAAATGGCTTAAAAAATATCAGTAATAGAATAGATAGATTATATAATCAAATACCAACAAACAGTGTTCTAATGGTCATTGGTGAACCAAAAATAAAAAACGAACATGGAATCGCTTTTATTAGAGTTAAAAACTAAAAATGTGTATCATAAATTTTTTTACTGTATCATAAACTTTTTATTAATAAAAACAATTAATCTTTGCTATTAAAATTACAATATTTATAATATTTATTTTATTTTCTCTTATTATTACAATGATGATGATAACAATAACATAATTTTAAATAAATAATAGCCTACCTTTTTCTTTCACTTACTCTCTTTCTCTCTATTCAACCCGTTTTTTTTCCTACCTTTACAATTAATCTTTTTTTGGATTTAACAAATTTAGCTTTTGCTGTACTAATATCAACAACATAAGGTAATGGTAAATCTAATACATATTTTCCAAAAGAATTTACAAAAAGTCTGGAAGATTCTATGTCTACAATTGTCTTTTCAATTAATTCCTGTCATATATCAACATTTTAAATGAGTAAATATTGTTTCTGACAAGTATTTAAATAATCGAGAAATAGTTGGATACTTACTAAAGAAGGTATTTCAATTGATATTAATAAATAGCATAGGTTGTTAATATCATGTTCAGTGATTATGTACTCGGGTTTTTGAGCTTTTGAAATATCATCTTCATTATTGTCGTCTTTAATTTTATTGTCATTTATACTGTTGGTTGGAGATTTAATTGGTTTAGAAATTTCAGTTATTAAAGAGAGTTGTTTCTTTGGAATCTTCACCGTTCTACTCTCTATCTTGCCCTTGTAATGCATTTTAGGAAACACAAAATCTAAAATTATCAAGTTTAAATAATTAAATATATATCTACCTTTTTTTTTTTTTTTTTTTTTTTTAAAAAAACTTTTTTACCTCGCCCAAGTTCAATCATGTTTTTTTCTTCAATCAATTCCACAGCTACTTCACTCACATACAACTTGAAATCATAATCATTTAGGATTCTTTGATACACCTCGTTGTTCACAATAAAATCGCATACAAGACATTTCTTCTGTGCTTTTACACATCATCACTT